TATGACTCGCTGAGTTTCTAGAACAGGTTCCGAAGAACAGTTTATTTTGGCCTTAACGATTAAATGATCACATGTAGTACATAATTGAGGTAGTAGCTCTACTGATTGTATACATGTTAAATTGTCGTTCATTCTTTTTGAACGTTATGACTATCGATATAGTATGTACTTGTTGATTTTCGAAAATGACCAGTGGTCGTACGGATAGTTTAGCCTAATGTTAAAGGATGNATTCTTTTTGAACGTTATGACTATCGATATAGTATGTACTTGTTGATTTTCGAAAATGACCAGTGGTCGTACGGATAGTTTAGCCTAATGTTAAAGGATGGCGTATGCCTAAAACCTTTAACTCGTCGCAAGTTTATCCGGTGGAAAGTGTGTGTATATTTTGTGAGAGTGAGACTCTATGTCATAAGGTAATGAAAAACACGGTGTCAACTGGGAATCGAACCCAGGACCTTGGTCCACCGTACCAAAGCTCTAACCACCGAGCTATTGAGACCCAGCATTAACCATGTTATTCACCCTTTTTGTGCGTTTTGACTATCGCACGCTGCCACATGGCTGTATGGGTGTGTGAGTTTATCCGGCAGAATGTGTGTATATTTTGTGAGAGTGGGACTCTATGTCATACGGTAATCAAAAACATAATCTCAACTGGGAATCGAACCCTGGACCTTGGTTCATCGTACCAAAGCTCTAACCACTGAGTTATTGAGACCCAGCCTTAACCATGTTATTCATTCTTTTTGAACGTTATGACTATCGATATAGTATGTACTTGTTGATTTTCGAAAATGACCAGTGGTCGTACGGATAGTTTAGCCTAATGTTAAAGGATGGCGTATGCCTAAAACCTTTAACTCGTCTAGAGGGCGCTCATAGCCGTTTTCTGACTCGCCATGGTCGGTTACCTATACTGTATCATTTTCATGACGGAGACCCTTACCCTCTATTAGTTATCGCATTTTTGCACTATTCGGTTGCCGACGCCGACTTTTATTTCATATGACCACTTTCAGTCAAGGGAACAGCGTGTCTGCCGGAACCATTGACTGAAGCACATGAATTAATTAAACAATTATTTACAATTATATTTGATCCAGGCAATGAATTTTATAGCTGGGTGCCATTAAGGATGAATTGCAATCCTTCGTTCATTTACAACTATTTCGGTTGTGCGGTATACGTCAAAAGGTTAATGTACAACAAGTTTTCAAGAAATGGTACAATTGGGCGCATCTGCATAGTACGGATTGTTGCCGTTTCAACTTACCATTACAAGAAGAAGATCTATTTATTCTCAATACTCCGGATGACGATTTATTTTTTAATCAAAAATCCGAACCAGATCATCCCAATTGTTCGTGTCCTCATCGACCTTATAAGAATCTTACGGATCAATGGTCTGTACAAAAAGCGATCGCAATAATATTTGGACGATTTCTAGAGAAATCGTCAGCGCTGTCAAATTGGTCATGTGGCCTCGATTCTCGTCTCTTAACCTGGATATCAGTCAACTTAGTCGGTGAAAGAAGAACACACGACGAATCTAACCAACAAAATATACAAGAAAACTTGGCAGATTCAACCCAATTTACACAAGATCAACACCAACATGAATACAACCAGTACACTATGGACAAAAATCCAACACTTTAGCCGAACAACTAAATGAACAATCAGTTATGTATGATAATATCTCAGCATCAGAAGACGAGCGTCCAACTGATATGCCAGAACGACAACCAGTTCCACAACCACGACCACACAACAGAAATACTTATCGATCAGCACATGCCAGACATAAACGGAATCGCAAACGTCACAGAAAAGAAAATCAAATTCGATCACAATTCAACATTCAACGAAGTTGTTATCGAACATGCAATATATCAATGCATTGATGATTGATTTAATCATGATTAAATCTATTCTGAAGGATTATGGTATACCATATGGAAAAGTAATCATTGCTGGTGGCAATGCAACAATTACACTTAAAAATCAACAACAACATCAATTACTTATACGCACATTACCTCATGACGTTTTCGACATACAACATTATTATCAATTTATCAACATATTTTAATTAGCCTTTTTGGTTTTTTGCTGTTTTCTTTTGTCGTTTTTCTTCAGATATTTCCTTATGATTGTTCTGTTTTGTTTTGTTTAACTCTCTACACTTCTTTAAAACTATTAACTCAGTGTTTGTTTTGTCTTTATTGTCCTTTTGATAAAGTTTGTTTTTTCTCTTATACAGTTTGCATTCATAGAGTTATGCAAGCAGCCGTTTACACGGATAGCTTAGTTTCAAGATGGGTGTTACCATCTTCTGCAAGGGGGGAGGTATTATGATCTGCTCCCAATGACATCTTCAGCAGATCATAACTTGTAGTTTTTTTATTCTTCCTTGTCTTTCCAGTACTCGCCAAGGACTATGTTTACTTGTTTTATCAGCTGAGCATCCAACATTAATGAGGGTATAACCGGATATAAGTTCTTCAGGCACTTGATCCAAGGCTGTGGCAGGGGCTAATTGGCTAATTTCATAGGCTATAATACGATTTATTAAACGACATTGACCTGCGCTTCAAATAGTCATAAAACCACCGAGTACTAGCTGCCGCCGCTCCTGGCTGATCAAAATATTAACTATCCAAATCCAGTAAAATTATTCGTGAATGTGTATCTAAATGAGTGCAAACATTATCATAGACAAAAATTATTTTAGGGCAGAACAGTGATGTGGGTGGGAAATACTCAGACTCAGAATATATTATCTAACGGTAAAGACAGTTTCCAAGCTGCTGTCCAAACGTAAAAGAATCCAGTATTGCCTGATTCATCCAGATTACTAGATTTTTACTTGATTGCAATTATTTGGTAACGACAGTGGAAATTTAGTAATTGGGCGGTTGCCAAATATCTTTTCAGCTGCAACGATTGGTTTAGCGCCCGATAATCGATCGCTTTAACTGTTGCTAGTTGTACATGCAGACGCATCTAGTTGAAGCCCCTTTTCCAACTAGTAGTCTAAATGGCAACTAGTCGTGTGTCGTCCGATTACAGAAGAAATGTATCTAGGTTTTTCCCATAGGCGATGTTTGCTTGTGTGAAAAATACAGTACAATAGTAATAAATCCAGTACAAGAAAAACAATTTTTCTTGAAGAAAGAGAATATTTTACTGGTGTGTACCCACAGCTTTTGATTCCAGAACTATCATTTCTGCTCGTTCTGTAGGACCATGGTTCCATTAATTCGATAACTGATCGTCATTATTGTTTGTCTCATCGAATACTACATACGGCGCTACAGGTATCAGTAATACATGTCGTTTTGACTGGACGCTTACATTACTAGTTACGTATACACTTTTGGGTATTAATTTAATCGAATCATTTGACCACTCATAGATCGTTAATGGATCTCTCAATAAACCTACTAGTGATTCAATTAATTGATAAGCTTCAAAATGAATATGTGTTTCACCACTACCTTTAGTGCATAGTTGACGATAATACATTCTTGAAAATAAATCATCATTTGTTGAAGCAGTTTTGTTTTCTGCAGTGAATCCATCTAGGTTAACAAAGCCACAGTTAGCAATATTAGAATGTTCAGATGCTTAACATCTAACACTGATTTGTGAATCTCAAGCGTCCCTAATCAAGTTCGCTCTTGGGACCGTGTTAAACTAGAAAAATGTGTAGAATTATTTGGATGAAATTCAATAACATTATTCGAATTAAAGGCAAGATTCTTTTTATGTTCAATAAAGTTAACGCTGTTACAGCCGCATACGTCTTAAAATCTTTATTAGGAGAGATCTTTCATTTCATGGCGTGCTTGCACGCTTTCATGAGAAAAAGTTAACTTTTGTTTAGAGCTCACGTGTTTTACTCTTCCACTGGATGAAAAATGTTGCTTATAGTATCATCGCTGAATATATGTAAAGTATGTATACAAATAAATGACAGAATAAAGAGTATAATACTGCTACGAAGGTCAGTATCCATTCTTCTATTGTACTCTTTTTTCTACCATTTATTTAAAACTTTTCTTCTTAATTTTGTGTATAGAAGTAAGTTCTTGTTAGGTCCGGTATACGTTGTTGTGTATAAGTAGTTTATTACTGAACAAGATGATCTTTACATAAAATTAGGAGCTATTTATAGCTGAGGTTAAACGGAAACGGTGGGTTATATCCCAGAGCTAAAAGAATGCATTGGAATATCTCTTGAAGAAAAGAAACAGTACAGAACGAAACCAAGAGATATTACTGGGGAATTCCCCGACAGAAAGAAAGAGAACAATGCATATACATATATGACATTAAGAGAAAATACCCATAGAAGGAGAATAGAGAACGAATATACATATGACTATTATACAATTGTCTCTTATGGCATGTACGTGCCCTAACAGTTCTATTGTCTTTGAGTAGCGTTCAGTCAGACATTGTTAATCTCTCTTATAATGGATGCCAGACAAATTCTCATCTATTTTAATGCTTTAATTTACTTTCATTCAATTGTATTGTTCGTTGCACAGTTTGGACGGCTTTTGTTAAATGCTCTGTATCAGCTAATGTCGCGCAAATACGATTCTGTAATTTATCGATGTTTAGATACCATTCTAACTCCCATTGACTTGACGTGTAATTATGAAAATACCAGTAACATGTGTCTTTTCTCGCTTTGTGTTTTCTTATATACAGGTTTGAAGTGGGATAATTGTTACGTTTTGTAGAATAAAACATGAGAAAACTAAGCACGATAATTCCAATTATACACCAGGAAATTGCTAAATCACAGGAATTTCTATCGTAACTTCCTAAATTAGGAAGTTACGATAGAAATTCCTGCCGTAATAAAGAAAAACTTCCTTACAGAAATTACAACTCCAAAATTCTAGATCAGTTTAGTCAGAAAATCGAAAAAAAAATTTCGAAACAATTTTAGATAGATTCCTGCTAGGAAAAGATTTCTTGAATATTTAGTCAAAAAACTGTTTCCCCCTACGACTTGCGACAGGGAATTGCGATTAGAATTCCAATGGAATTCCCGCTTCTCAAACTGCTGTTTCCGTAAAAGGGTTTCGGCATCGCAGTCGCCGTTCCAGATTGAGAATTTTTGATCTTCTAAGGGTATTGATCTGGACAGCAAGCAACTAGCTTGTTATGGCACATATTAAAGACGTGTCATAATAGAGAGTTGTATGATAGGTATCATACATATATATATACGTATATTCGTTCTCTATTCTTCTTCTATGGGTATTTTCTCTTAATGTCATATATGTATATGTATTGTTCTCTTTCTTTCTGTCGGGGAATTCCCCAGTAATATCTCTTGGTTTCGTTCTGTACTGTTTCTTTTCTTCAAGAGATATTCCAATGCATTCTTTTAGCTCTAGGATATAACCCACCGTTTCCGTTTAACCTCAGCTATAAATAGCTCCTAATTTTATGTAAAGATCATCTTGTTCAGTAATAAACTACTTATACACAACAACGTATACCGGACCTAACAATTGGTGCACTAGCCGGTGTTGATTGTGTATATGGTACAGACAAGACGATAGCTACGCAAACAAGAAGCAACGGAAAAATTACAGGTTAGTTGAAGAACTGGAACGACTGGGCGTTACTGAAACTGAACAAAACAAAACACCCACAGTATAACTGAAAATAAAAATAAAATAATGGGTAGTTCAAGCGATCAGATGTATGGTCTGTGCAGTCGTACTCCATTAACAATGGCTGCACAACTGGTAAAGAGCCTACTTTCGACTCATCTGTGCAAGTCGCCAAAATTTGGAGGAAAGGTCAATGAAAATGTGGTCGAATGGATAACATACATGGCAGACGAATTCAAATTAGCGAGACTTGATGATTCAAGGAAATTATCGATGATTCATACATATCTTTATGACGATGCGAGCGATTGGTTTATCAACAATATGACACGGATAAGCAACTGGTCGACATTTGTATGCGAGCATCAAAAAGTATTTTGCTTTTCTCAACAAGCAACTATTGGCGAAATTGGCACACCGGTACAGTGTTTTGACAAAGCGATTCTTCATTCTTCTAATCATGCAATAGTATTCGACGCTAAAATGGATTCAAATATCAAAGATCAATCGAAGGTAGTAAATGTGAAAATCGGTTTCCAACTGTCCCGACAAAATTCATCAAAATCAGTCGAGTTTTTCGAATTCGCCATGGTCGATTACCTATGGAATGACATCTTCGCGTCTTTTAGCATTTTTTCCACGTTTTACCCATAGAGACCGCGCTCGCAACCAGGATAGGTGTTACATTTCTCTGATGACTATATGTATGTACGTCCGTCCCACTGTCACATGGCTGTATGCGTGTACGTCCGTCACACTGCCACATAACTATATTTCCTTGACCGAAAGTCTAGGGTCACATGAAATAAATGTCGGCGTCGGCGTCCGCATACTGCAAAAATGACTAATAGACGGTAAGGGTCTCCGTCATGAAAATGATACAGGCGAGTCAGGAAATGGCTATGAGCGACCTCTAGCGGCAATCCTATTGGTCGACATTTGCTTTTACACTGCTCTTTAATGCAGAGGTTTCTATGAAGTTCTTTTGCAGACCCTCTACAGATCCTCTAAGACGTCGTACATACGCCCATCGGATGCGCCATGGTCGATTACCTAGGGACTGACATCGTCCCGTCTTTTAGCATTTTTTCCACGTTTTACCCACAGAGACCGCGCTCGCAGCCAGAATAGGTGTTGCACTTCTCTGATGACTATATGTATATACGTCCGTCCCACTGCCACATGGCTGTATGTGTGTACGTCCGTTACACTGCCACATGGCTGTATGTGTGTACGTCCGTCACACTGCCCCATGGCTGTGTGTAGGTACGTCCGTTACACTGCCACATGACTATATTCCATGATAGGTAACCGACCATGGCGAGTCAGGAAATGGCTATGAGCGACCTCTAGCGGCAATCCTATTGGTCGACATTTGCTTTTACACTGCTTTTTAATGCAGAGGTTTTCTGAAGTTCTCCTGCAGACCAGCTAGAGATCCTCTGGAGAGGTCGTATATACGTCCATCGGATGCGCCATGGTCGATCACCTGCGGAATGACATCTTCGCGTCTTTTTATCATTTTTTCCACGTTTTACCCATAGAGACCGCGCTCGCAGTCAGAATAGGTGTTACATTTCTCTGATGACTATATGTATGTACGTCCGTCCCGTGGCCACATGGCTGTATATTTTGTGAGAGTCAGACTCTGTGTCATAAGGTGATGAAAAACACGGTCTCAACTGGGAATCGAACCCAGGACCTAGGTTCACCGTACTAAAGCTCTAACCACTGAGCTATTGAGACCCAGCATTAACCAGGTCATTCATCCTTTTTGTACGTTATGACTATCGATATAGTATGAAATTGTTCATTTTCTAAAATGACCACTGGCCCTACGGATAGTTTAGCCTAATGTTAAAGGATGGCGTATGCCTGAAAGCTGCCAAATGGCTGTGGGTGTGTACGTCCGTCACGCTGCCACATAACTATATTCCCTTGACCGAAAGTCTAGGGTCATATGAAATAAATGTACGCGTCCGCGTCCGCATAGTGCGAAAATACGATAACTAATAGAGGGAAACGGTCTCCGTCATGAAAATGATACAGTATAGGTAACCGACCATGGCGAGTAAGAAAATGGCTTATGAGCGCCCTCTAGAAGCAATCCTATTGGTCGACATTTGCTTTTACACTGCTCTTTAATGCAGAGGTTTCTATGAAGTTCTTTTGAAGACCCTCTACAGATCCTCTGAGACGTCGTACATACGCCCATCGAATGCGCCATGGTCGATTACCTAGGGAGTGACATCTTCGCGTCTTTTAGCATTTTTTCCACGTTTTACGCATAGAGACCGCGCTCGCAGCCAGAATAGGTGTTACATTCCTCTGATGACTATATGTAGGTACGTCCGTTACACTGCCACATGGCTGTGTGTATGTACGTCCGTCACACTGCCACATGGCTGTATGTGTGTACGTCCGTCACACTGCCACATAACTATATTTCCTTGACCGAAAGTCTAGGGTCACATGAAATAAATGTCGGCGTCGGCGTCCGCATACTGCAAAAATGACTAATAGACGGTAAGGGTCTCCGTCATGAAAATGATACAGGCGAGTCAGGAAATGGCTATGAGCGACCTCTAGCGGCAATCCTATTGGTCGACATTTGCTTTTACACTGCTCTTTAATGCAGAGGTTTCTATGAAGTTCTTTTGCAGACCCTCTACAGATCCTCTAAGACGTCGTACATACGCCCATCGGATGCGCCATGGTCGATTACCTAGGGACTGACATCGTCCCGTCTTTTAGCATTTTTTCCACGTTTTACCCACAGAGACCGCGCTCGCAGCCAGAATAGGTGTTGCACTTCTCTGATGACTATATGTATATACGTCCGTCACACTGCCACATGACTATATTCCATGATAGGTAACCGACCATCTGCGTCCGCGTCCGCATAGTGCAAAAATACGATAACTAATAGGGGGAAACGGTCTCCGTCATTATTCGGTAGGGTCCTCCAAATTTTTCCTGCACCTTTGACTTTTTGTCAAGAACTTTCACCAAAACAAGTTGATCAATGAAATATTTCGGATCAGGCCTGTTTTGATCAAATCTTTTCTTGTCAATTGATTTTGATATTCCATATTTGCTTTTGTACATTTTTTCAAAATTTCTCTTGATTTCTGGATTAATTCATAATAATTGTTCGGCTTAGAGAGAGTGATTTTTGCTTGTTTTGTTTCAATTGGTAGACGAGGCTCTCTTCCGAACATTAACTGAAATGGTGAATAACTAGTCGTTGCGTGTTCACCTGAGTTATATGCATAAACACATGCTGGTACAGAGTCATCCCAATTGTTTGCTCCTTCTTCCCATAATTTGGCTAAAGCGGAACTAAAAGTTGCATTGAATCGTTGTGTCTGACCATTTGTCATCGGATGATATGGAGTTGATAAAATGTGAGTTGTATTACATTGTTTGACGATGGCATTGGTTAATTCAGAGACGAAGTGCGAACCTTGATCCATAAGCAGTTTGGTTGGAGCACCGTAACCCCAAACTACCTCCGGAAAAAACTGTGATGCGTCTTTTGCTGAATTTGTTGGGGTTGGTTTTGCAAAAACGAACGTAGATAAATAATCTGTCATTGTGACTACGTATTGATTGCCATTTGCCGATGGTTGCTGCGTTGGTCCCCAGAAATCCATACCTACCATACCCAAAAATTCGTCTGGAACTGGTATTTGCTGCAGTTTTCCTGGCGGTTTAGTTCTCCTGTAATTGTATTTTGCGCATTTGAAGCATGATTGTATATAACTTGTAATTGTATGTTTCATTTTCGGCCAATAATACTTGTTCTGCAGTTTCTTGTATGTTCTTTCTATGCCAAAATGAGCACTGGAAGGATGATCGTAGTATAAAAATAAAATTTCTTTAAATAATGTTGCAGGCAAGTACGGTAATTTAATTTTTGTTGTTCCTCGAGTAATAAGTTTATAAAATATACCATCAACAAATTCATAAGACTGATTCTTCTTATAATGTTTGATTTTATCTTGTATGTCTGGATCTGTTTGTTGTTCGTGTTTTATTTTTAACAAACTAAAATCTGTTGCTGATATTGTGGTTTTCGATAAAAAGGTTGTTTTCGAGGAGACATCAGTCGTTGTGAGATCGTTTATTGGTGATTGTTCTGGTTTTCGCGGTGTATTATATTGTTTCTTGTATGGATTTTCCTTTTCATTTCTTGTTCGACCTTGTTGGACTGTCACCTGTGGGGTAGGGACGGCTCTGGCTCTGGTTGTGACTGCCCGGGCAAACACCTGAGAAGGTGGCCAGTTACGTAGTTTCGGATCGAGCCCATAATCATAATCAAATAGGTCGTCGACGTTGTTCTTAACTGGATGTCTTGATAAATAATCTGGCAAACAACTGTGACGACCCTTTATGTGTATTATTTTTTCGATATTATATTCTTGGAGTAGCAGTGAAATTCTATCGACTCGTTTGTTCTTGACTGTTCGCTCCATCATGTTGCAGATAGGGCAGTGATCCGTATAAATAATAATGTTTCTCCCCAATAAAAACGATCTCATTCGTTTAATGCAAATCAGATTGCCAATGCTTCCTTTTCAATTGTATCATATTTCTTCTGTGCTGATGTAATCAATTGTGAATGATAATATATGTTGTGCATGTTTCCATTGATCTGTTGTTGCAGGACACCCCCTATA